TTTCAAACTCATTTACAACGAGTACTGCGGGCCGGGGGCCAAGCCGCTGTTCCGAAGCAAGGTGTGAAGCCAGCCACGCCGGGGTGCAGATGCCGGACGCTTTGCCAGCCGACTCATTCTCTTGGGCTTCTGATCCTAGGCTCCCCAGCCCAAAAGTAGGCGGCCCGAGTTAGGAGTTCAAATGTCCTGTGGACAGGCTCTCTGTGTGTGTATGCGTGTGTATGAAGGAATAGCAGCTCACATTCGGGTTTTTGGTTGTTGTTTTTTAAGCTTGCTCTGGTACAAAATCACATTTGAGGGGGAGGGTGCACTTTTAGCACAGTTTCTATTTTCGGGGACCACAGTTGCCTCCAGAAGAATGTGTGACTGCAGGAAGTAGTAGCGTGCTGCTGAATGTTCTGAGGTTTTGGCTTAGCAGGTACAGGGAGGGAGGATCTGGTGAAATAAGTGCTAAACTAGGGTGAAGATGACAAAATGAACTTGAAAGCGAGAGAGGGGCGCTTGGGGAATTGCTCTGTACAGATTGACCCTTAGGGCCTCTGGGTTTTTGCTGCCTCTCCCAGTGGCAGACAGTATTGTGATGGATTATTATTAGGATCTGTCGGGTGTAGGATTCAGGGCACTGGGGAACTTTTAAGGCCAAGGAGACGAGGAACAGCCTTTTATGTTCCTGTCTCCAGCAGGCTCTAGGCCTGAAGGAAAGTTTGCTGATCTCTCCCTCCCACTTTTCTCCTTGGCAGGTTCAAGTGTTGAGTGGTGATAGTTCTGGTAGACTCACAATACAAGCAGAGACTGTCAGCCAAGGGACAGAAAGTCTCCCTCTTTTTTTCTCTCCTCCAGAGGTGAGGAGGGGATATAGCAGCTGAAATGAAGGGAAACTACGGCCGGATTGTGTGTTTGTTGTTGAAGTTTGCATACCCAACAACCATTATCGAGTGACGGGCCAAGGAGGTGTAGTGCCAGTGAACATTAGCAAGCTGTTGGCAAGCTGGACGTTCTGTGAAAATTAGATTTAGGTGTAAAATGCGGGGGAGGAAGCCGGCAGTTCTGGTTTCCGGCAGAGCAAAGAAATCCATAAGCTCTTTCCAGCAATCACTTTGTAAAACCCCCCCCCCATGCAACAGAGAGAGAGAGAGAGAGAGAGAGAAGTGGCTAGAAGTTCCCATTGTAGAGCTTGCATACTACTGGAACCTTGGAACTCACTCAGATTCTTTGTTTTGATTTCTTCCTCTGTGTGGTGTGTGTGTGTATTTTTTGAAGATCTAAAGTTCCCCTGGCCTCCTTTTTTTCCTTTTTGCATCATGACCTTGTTGAAGAGCAGTTGGTACGACCAGCTGCTGCCATTCCCTCAGTACAAACGCATAACTGCTGCTGAAATCAGCAACCGTGTGACTCCTGGTTCCTGGAAATGTCTGGTAAATGCCAGCGTATGCCCCGACATCATATTAGAACCGGCCCGGGCAAATAGTGACCAGTGAAGGGACAGCCAGTTACCATCACAGTAGCGTTACGCTATTGTCCCTTGAGGTTTAATGGCCATTTCCATGGAAAGGGGAGAAGGAAGATAAGAGGCCACTGCTTTCGACAGCAGCTGTGTTCTTTCTATGTCGGGTAGTTTCACAATCATGTGCCTCCCTCTATGAGAACCAACAGCTCTTCTCAGTGTTTTAGCCAAGGAGAGAGAGTAACACAGAGCAAAACAATGACACGTAGCTCCCGAGCACAGAAGTGGTTAGGGGCTGCCGCGTGGGTGCACATGTCATTTAAAGAGCACAGTAAAAAGACTCCATGTCAGGCAGAAGTGGTGTCCTACGGAGCACCTTTGGACAGCAAGTGAGATGAACAGTGTGGAGTGAAAGCCCTGGGCGGTTAGCTGGCCTGAAGAATGCCTGAGGCAGGGTGAGCAAAGGTCCTTTCCAAGCAACCTGCCCTTTGTGCCTTGCGGAGGAGGAAACAGGAGCTGGTGGGAGTTCTTCACCGTCTCTCTCTCTTTTAAATACCTTTGCTCTAGATGTGTGTTGGCTTCCATAACATGTACTCCCTTTAGTGGAGAATACTTGAAAATTACACTGTCTTTCTCCCCCCTGCTTAATCGTATAGGAAAACAAGCCAGCTCTTCTACTTTTTTTGGTCCTCACCTTGAATGACACAGTTCTGTTCTCCCCCTCTGCTTCTAATTCTGTGTTGTCTCATTTATCTGTGTGCATTTTAATTTATTGTCAGTGGATTGAGGATGTTGAATCACTGCGACTTTTGAGAGTGAATAACAGCCAATTAAGAATGTATATATTTATCTCTCGTGTGTTCAATCTAGTGCCGCAAACGGGCTTCTCAGCCTTTTGTGAACAAAGCAGACACAATGATCGACTTTAATTGAAGGGGTGTGCATAGGTGAGCCATTGATTTTCCTGTTCCAAATGTGTTGCGATGTCCTGTTTCTAAATTCGGGGTTGTGGGGCGAGACACAGACTTCCTGATGATTTGAACATTGATTGTTTGTTTGATTTTACAAATACCAAAGGTTTTGTTTTTTAAGGAAATAAATATTGTTCAAGTCTACACTTGGTGGTTATAGTCATGTATTCTGTGTGTGTGTGGGGAGTCTTTTGTTTAGCTGATGTCTCGCGATTATCCTAACTGTAGGAAGGTAATATTCATGAGCTGCCTTAGCAGGCGACAAATACATTATTGAGGACAGGCGGCTTGTCCCTTTTCGTTGTTCTGGATGACTGGGACATTACGTTGTGCACGCACACCTCTTTTAAAACGCTGCCTTCCAAACAGCACAGATAGTAGGAGAGACCTCCTGCCGCTTTTCGTGTTACGCAGCCAGCTCTTTCTTCACATATAGAATCTCCCACTATGAATACAGGAAATAAAAGGGGGAGGTAGCCCGCCACTCGGTTTTTCTCCTTCCCTGGCCCGCTCTGAAGGAAGAGTGCTTCTTGGTGCTTAAAACGTTTCTGCCTAAAACATTCAGAATAGCTGAAAAGAGACAAGTATTATGCAGCAGAAGTTAGAATCCATCCAACGGCCCAGCCAGATCTAACTTTAAAACTCTGGAACCTTAAAAACAGCCAAAATATAAAAAACAGAAGCAAACAGCATCATTAAGAGTCTCAAAAATAAAACTCAATGGGGAAAAATAGATGACTTTGGTGAGTTGTTTCATTAAACCAGTTTGGTGTAGAGAGCCAGTTTGGTGTAGTAGTTAAGTGTGCGGACTCTAATCTGGGAGAACCGGGTTTGATTTCCCACTCCTCCACTTGCAGCTGCTGAATGACCTTGGGCAAGCCATAGTTCTGTCAGAGCTGTTCTTGAAAGAGCAGTTCTTTCAGAGCTCTCTCAGCCCCACCTACCTCACAGGGTTGTGGGGAGGGGAAGGGAAAGGAGTCTGTAAGCCGCTCTGAGACTCCCAAGTGAAGGGCGGGGTATAAATCCAATCTCTTCTTCTTAAACGTTATGAACTTTTTGTAGGGTAGGCCACAATTACCCCAAATTGCAAGGAATATGCTCCATGAAAGCCTCTAATCCTTGAAACTAATAGGGTGGGTGGGCACCTTTTGACCACTCCAGATGTCCTGATAGTGATGTAATTCAAGAAAACGTTATAGACCAACATGCATTATTTGATACTTCTCTTTTTTACCTACTGCAATAGAGGCTGCATTTAGGAATCGGGAAACATATCAGCTTTTAAGAGTACCACATTTGAAATGTGCAAGCAGAATCAAGTCAGAGCAGTTTGCATCAGTGTCCCTCAGTCATGCACTGCATTAACTGGTTCCAGCAGGTAGATTCTGCTTTTTCTTAAACAGCCCAAACAGGTAAGAGTTCTGAGGAATTGGAAAGGAAGTGGAAGAACCTACAACAAAGCACCGCCGTGCCAATTTGGGTCCCTTGCCAGTTTGTTGGGGCATCAAAGTCTCTCGGCCAGTTCTGCTTTCCCCCCCAAAGCGTGAGCCGCTAGCACCTTCCACAGCCCCCAGAGGGGGTGGGCGTGCTGCTCCAAGCGTCAGAAATCCAAGTGCTTTTTAGTGGGCTTCTCCAGTCTCTGTCTCTTTCCTGTTCTCCCCTGAGCTGAGAAGGGAGCTTCCATGGCAGGAGTTGGCAGCCAAAATGTCTTCTCTTCCTCCACGTCTCTCAAGGGGAAGGTCCACCGGACCCACAAGGGCAAAACGGCCCCAATCCCCAAGCAGAAGAGCTCTCGGATGGCCGCCCTGACTGCCAGGTACGCACCAGAATGGAGACTCAGACCAGTCGCTGAGGTTTCCTGAATTTTCTTGGGGGGAACGGAGGCTTTCCAGAAGAAACAGGTCTAAAAGGTTTAGCAAGCCACAGATGGGAGGGGAAAGGAAGATTCAGAAAACGTTTGGAGAGAGACATTCTGGGGGGAAAGGAGCGACTACAGAAATGGGTGCAGCCACAGGATATAAGTAGCCATTTGGCCATCCTAAAGTGACCCAAATGAGGCTGAAAGTGACTTTCATTTCTACAGAAACGCTTCTCTTTAGTGTTAGTTACCTTCCCAAGGAGCCTGACCTTTGTTTTCCAATAAAAGCAAATTTAACATCACCCAGAATTGTCACAGCACAGGCAAAATTTAATATCCTGCACTGTGCACGCAGTGTTTCGGGGCATTTTTATTAAAAATATTTCCCCCTTGAAATTCAATTTCTCACTGGGTTTTCTGAAGAAGCTTTGCCAAGACAAAGGGGCTAGATTGGCTTATTAGCTAATAGTTTTTTTGCTTATCCCCCTAGATTTGTTTTTTCCACATTATCTCCCTGCCATTTTTTTAAATTATACAGGATAATGGAGGAAGTATTTAAAAATAAAAGATGGGTAAGGAGGGAAGAATTGAGGGCGAGAGAATGCAGAAGCCATTCAAAGTCAAAATAATTTGCTATTTTTAATATGCTCTTGGATGTGTAGCTTTAAAGTACATTATTGGCTCACAGCAAAATATTCTGTGGCAGTTGAGAACTGAGTACCAGGCAAGAAGAAAAATCGCCGATAACGCCCCCATCCCCCCAAAGATTGTACTTTAAACATTTAGCTGAAAGTGGTTTTCTGCTTTCCCGTTTATATCAATGAAGCATATTCTGTGTCAATTGATTTATGTGACACAATTCTTTGCCAGATTCGAAACCTCTTTTCCATCTTATGGACCGGGGGGAATTAAGAATAGGTGAAGACAAACTAATTTAACTGGATAAGGTCTTTAGTAATCCACAGATTAATGTATTTCCTGATAATATTGCTGTGGATGCTTGCGTGACTAACCAGTCTCCCCCCACCATCAAGATACCCGTCATCTATGTTAACAAAGGTTGCAAATAAGGAAATATTGAATTATAACACTGATATATTTGAATAGAGGAAGGGACATAAAACCGTTATTAAGGGTTCTGTGTGTTCTTAACATTCAAAAACCTTGATTTGCACAACAGTACATAATTGCATTATCTAAAATTCACCATAGCAAACTGCCAAATATTTTAAATATCTTTCTGTTAATGGCATTCAAATTCTCCATCACTGGGATTTGCCTTTCCTTACGACAACAGACAACAATTCTTTAGCTCCTGCATTTATCTCAGAAGCCTCCCTGCCCTGGGTCTACACGGCAAAATTCAAACCATTTTCAAACCTCTTTTAGCTGTTCGAGAAACTCCAAAAAAAAAAGAGGTAGCAAAATCATCTCTCCTTTGTGGGAAGGCCATGACAGATAAACCAATTTCTAGCCACTATGAATTTTGCTGTCTGGGTAGCTGTTGAGAGAAGAAGGAAAAATATAGCACAGCAAAAGGCTAGTGTGAGCTTTGGGGGACATCGTTCCTTTGACAGGAACACAGATGGGTAATTGTAAAAATCTCTGTTTGAAAAGATGGTGCAAATTAACCTTCAGGGAAATCTCCTCAATCTGTCATTCGATCAGCCACTGTAAACATATTGTAGCATTTGGAAAGAGTTCAATGATACGAAACCTGGTTTTTTCTTTTTAAAAACGGACAAAGTTCCGCCTGCACGGTGCACCTGCCTCTCTCCCAGCTGAAGAACGACTTTACTCTCTTTAGAATCTTAGTGCAATGCGAAGGAGTGACGGTATTGTGGGCAATGGTGGCCGGTGATATATCTCCTGTTCCTCGAGTGAATGTTGCAGAGTCAAATAGATCTTGCACACACCAGCTTAGGTTAGTGCCATTTACACAGTCCTTCTGGCAAAGCATTCACAGATCCCACTGACAAAGTGCTTTGCCAAGCAACCTGATACCATACTGGCATATAGTGGCATATACATTACGGACTTATATACACATGGATATCCAATCGGCAGGAGCTGCGGTGGCTCAAGTGGTTAAGACGCTGAACTGCAGGCTGTGGAAGGTCGGTAGTTCAGCAGTTCGAGACCCAGGGGTGCCGCATGACGGAGTGAGCTTCCGTCTCTAGTTCCAGCTCCTGCCAACCTAGCAGTTCGAAAGCAAGAAATTGCAAGTAGATAAATAGGGGCCACTTCGGTGGGAAGGTAACAGCGTTCCGCGCGCCTTGGTGTTTAGTCATGCCGGCCACATGACCACGGAAACGTCTTCGGACAGCGCTGGCTCTTCGGCTTTGAAACGGAGATGAGCACCGCAACCCTAGAGTTGGATTCGACTGGCTTTCGAGCAAGGGAACCTTTACTTTTTTATCCAATCAGCACAGAGATGCTGAGTCACGGAAGCACCTCCTGCAGGCTGATGCTACACGTCCAGTCATGAGACCTCTGACTGTCGTTTAGATCACCATGATCTGTCTAACAGGCTGCAGTCTTGCTTAGGCATTCCTTATGCACATGCCGGCAAGGAGGCCATGTGATCAAACCGGAATCATTATATTTCAAATCTGCCCCATGCAGGGAGTGAAAGATTCAAAAGAGACTTCAGTATGCTGGGCAGAAGTGAGAGAAAGAAATAGTATGCAGGGGTCACATTGGTGAAAAATACGGACACAAATCCAGCCATTGAAAGAGAAAAACTTTCCTGAGGCCCAGTGCTGTGCACTGCACTTAGGGCCCTGGGTTCAAGTTCCCCACTCAGCCACAAAGACTGTTAGGTGACCTTGGGCCAGTCATCTCCCTTCAGCTAGCCTACCCCGCAGAGCTGTTCTCAGGACCGTTTTTGGGAGGACCTATGTGTGTTATCCTGACTTCCTTGGAGGAAGGGGCAAGGATACAAACACAGTGGACAAATGATTTAAAAATAATGAACGCAATAGATCGATTAAGCCCATGGCGCTCTTAGAAGGTCCCAAGAAGAGCTTTGTGTACCTTGCAAAGTGACCATCATAGTCTTTCATCCTTAAAAAAAAATTAATATGAATTCCATACAAGAAAAACAGCAAACTAGCCTATCCAAATACAGGTAAACTAATCAAAACATCAAAACAGAGAGCCAGTTTGGTGTCGTGGTTAAGTATGCAGACTCTAATCTGGGAGAACCGGGTTTGATTCCCCACTCCTCCTCCACTCGCAGCTGGCTGGATGACCTTGGGCAAGCCGTAGTTCTGATAAGAGCAGT